TGTTATACACTTGCTGTGGTCAGAACTAAAGAATTTGAAAGGTGTGATAAACATACGGCGCCCCTGACCCACCGGCAGACACCCAATATATTTTTTTAACAGGTGTGAACTCGGAACTGACCATAAGATTGTTTCAAATTACAAGAGAAATTCTTTCCGTGTAAACAGACTTTCAAGGTCACCTTGCGTCATGGGAATTTGATTGGCAGGTGATGCACGAGAATTTGTGCTTACAGCATATACAGAGAACGAATTGATTGCATTAAACGAACAAAAGTTGTGGCAATTAAATAGAATTATAGAATGATTAATTGTGACCTCTGTAACTTAAATAAAACGAAGAATAAAAAAAAATATTACAGACTATATTCAAAGGGGGTTGTATCTCTCTCTCTCTCCCTCTCTCTCTCTCTCTCTCTCTCTCTGGTATTGCTTTTTATACATTTTACAAGAAAAGAAAAACTTATTAGATTAAAGAAAATCTTTTTAAAATAATTACTTATACTGAAAGGATTTTAAAAACATAACGTAGTGAACACTACTGTATGAAAATAATGTTTGCGAGAAAAACGCTTTGAAATTCTTGCATTAATTTCGTGTTTCTGTTGACGATTTTCGCATCCACATTCAGAATAATTCAAGATGAACAAAATAATGTATTCTAATAAGGAATATACATAATAATGCTTGGATCGTACACAAGTACTGTAAATGTTAAAACCATGAAATACAGCTCGGATTTTATACTATACAGTGTATGTGACACGAATGCAGGTCGACTCCATTTCGTCTTCCTTTGTTATACATGTACATGAACACATGAGATTAAATTGTTCATTTAAAATAAAATTCATAATTTTGATTTTGTAACGTGAATGAATAATTTTACTAAAATATAAATTTCTAGACACACAGTTAATTCAAATGAAAATCATTCAATTTTTTTTACCGATATCTAATCTCAATATCATGCGTGCCATTCAGAGTCCAATATCTGGTGGAATAAAAAACGATTGTCATGTAGGCCTATACATAAACCAACTGAAAGTTATAAATTGTCATCAAAATTTATTAGATTTTTATCAGAAACAAACGATTTCGTCTGTAATACTATTTAAACAGTGCAGCTTGCAGGAGAATTTTCTGGACACGCAGTGCGACACGGAGCGAAATTTACTGAAGACGGTGCGACACGGAGGACATTAGCTGAGATTTTTCTAGACACGGTGCGGCACGGTGTGCCTACCTGTATATTTCAAATCCACACACACCGTGCTACACCGTGTACACGGTGTAACACAGAGCGTTTTTTCCACCGAGCGATGCGGAAAACTCGTGGCCTGTACTGTATATGTAACTTAACAACTTGAATAAGAAACGTCATTCAACGACTACAGTAGTTCTAGATTTTAAAAGATAGGACAAGTTTTTACCGGCATTAGTTTTGTGCATCAAGGCTCGCAAAGTATTTGGTATTTCAGCAATCCAAATACGAGTGCTGTAGCAACGGTTTTTAATGAGTGGGAGGGGGGAGCTCCGACATAAACATCTGCTTACTACATAGCTGTGCTACACGTGTACCATCAGATCTATTTTTCCCATGATTGATTTCTTCCGTATAAATCCGGAACAGTTGTCAAGTCCCAGCCATTATGGATTACATATATAAAAAAAAATATCCCGATTTTTACAACTGAAAAACTAAAGGTTAATCGGAGATAAAATTTAACAATTTTGCTTTGAGATTACAATCAGTCATACATGTAATTAGGCAGATCATTGTAGAAAATGTTAACAAACCTAATGAATATTTTCTACACCTAGAAATTTCCTTAAATTGAATTTCGGTTAGAAACACATGCATATGGTGCACGTATTGCAGTCGTTTTTTAAAGGACAGCAACTTGTTTTACTATTAGAAGAAAAAAGGTCATAACTGCTGTTTTATGATAATTTATCTCAAAATCATGTACATGTATGACACTTTCGTCATCATTTTTATCACAAAACATTGCTCATCGTTTGGAAAACACAAAAAGTCTGTACTAGTTGCAGCTCATCAAGAAGATGGGCGCATTTGGCGAGTGATCTGCAGGAATTATTTGTACGAAACATTAATGGTTTAAATGTCCAGGATTTGGTTGGCTGAACATAGCTGGTCAGGTTTTACAAACACGTCCATAGGTTTTTTTTCATTTAGTTTGAATGAAGATTTCAATATTTATGTCCGTTTTTCCTAGGGGGTACAATAACAATCATGTTTCACAAAAAATAATTACCTTAAATATTTAATTCATAGATGCATGATACGTGTACATGTACATTATGCATGTAGAATAGAAGATTGGAATTGATTTCGCCCGAGAACCAAACTGAACCAAAATTTATCTTATTCAAAATTTTAATACATCAGTACATAAAACGAAACTGACAAAATAAATGGTTGTTTGCATGGAAAAAAAAAATTAACGCCCCATGCCAGGTTCGAACCAAAAACTTTTCGCTTCGAGCGCATTGAACAGGTACCCCTACTTACTGAGCTATCACCGCTACACGTATTGAGATGATTTAAAAAGGACAAAGAAGCACCACATTCACACATTTGGATTTTTTGGGGAAAAGTTCATTTTTTGTGGTCTCTGGGTCTTCTCTCCATTTTTTTTAAAAATGTGTATTCGTTTCTTTGAATTAAAATACACACAAATAACGTTTCAAAATCATGAAGAGAAGACCCAAAGATAGAAAAATTTTTTTTTAAATTATTCAAAAATGTTCCATTTTGTACCAAATGTCTGATCTGGCCAATTTTCAAGTTATTTTTTAGCAAATCATAGCTCAACTTCGGGAAAATATACTCCTTTCCTGTAGCACAGGAACCGGATAAATAAAAAAAAATTATAAAATTTCGTGTGACATGTAGATAAAGAATGGGTGGACTTAACGCCCTATTTTGGATCTTTTTTGTGGTTCCTCTACCAAGCTGTTAATGGAGTGAATCCAAAATATATTACAAGCAATGGAAAGAGCTACGTATACCTGGTTATATTAGGTAGAACATTTGTACAAAATCAGTGCCCTGTTGCCATATATCAAAATTGAAGCAACGATACACAAGTGTCGTCTTCCGGAATTTGACATGTACCAGGAGTGGTTTTTAGGTCACATAATCAATATTTATAGGAGGCGGGGCCATCGGTTGGCGTCATTGTTGACATCTCTCTCTCTATCCATCTCTCTATCCAAAAATTCGAATACGTGTTTAGCATATTACAGCGATGTCAATATGAAATCATTTAAAAAGTTTGATGACACGCAAAATTAAAACAAAATTTGATTTGCTAAATTCTGAAAACAGCAACCAAACGCGCTCAAAGACGTGATTTAGGACGAGGTCAGGTAGAAGAATACAATGTAACTGTTTTCACGAGTACACTCGCAGGTGGACATCACGTGATGAATTGTAATATTTAACAGGTCAATCGCAGTCATACATGTAACAATGGAAGCGAGAAGTTTGTTTTGAACATGTTTTTTGTTAAATTAAGTGTGAGCGCACGTTTGTCGGCTCTTCTCCTTTTAATATGACATTATTTTGTGCAATATGCAACTACAGTTTTCTTAAGAACAGCCGACAAACATGCGCTGACTATGTATTCAGACGATGAAAAACGCTTGACCTTTATTATCTATTGATATTCAAAAAACCTTCAGGCACCATGCCTTCGATATTTATTCAGTTTACCTAGAAAAGAGCATTTTAAATTCCCATCTGTACCATTAATACACGGTTAAGATATCGGTGGTTTATATGATAGAAAAAAATTAACATTTTATGAAATTTAAATTTATCGATTTTTTCTGACCAGTTAAGTCCACCCATTCTTTTTCACTTTTCAATTACGCCCCAATTCCTGCCGAATGCCAATCAAAAGCGCCCTCGTTCCTTGATAAATTTTAATAAGATTATCGTCATTGTTAAAGGTTTCTACTGTAGCATATATTGTAACTTATCAGCAAAAAATGTAACTTTGTTATATTTATATTGTCAAGTGATAATTTTTTTCATTCCAACATTTAAAAGACGAGATTGGTTTTCAATTTTACATTCTTAGTACGCATCTATTATTCAAGTCAACCATGACTAGCAGTATTTATTTTGTTTAAAGGTGTGGAAGTAAAATGAGTCAGGATGTTGTTGTCTTTTATCTTAGAGTCAATATTTTGATCGATTAATTGATTTTATGTTGTTTTACGTCCCATTCCAGAATTTTTCACTCATATGGAGACGTCCTAGTATAAGAATATGTTAAGGAAAAGCTTCAAATTTAGATCTTTTCTCGACACTTTGGGCCATTAAGAAGTGCAAAATCTCTATACCTTGAGAATGACTGTAGTTTTTAATGCTTCATTCAAAAACCCTTACTTCACTTTCTCTTCTTGTATCGAAGATTTGGAAGAGAAATATTCACATTTTTTTTGCTTTTTAACTTTAATTTGACACGGCGCAGAGAACGAGAAACGAACACAGTTCTTACGATCTATGCCTAGGGAGTCAGCTGGATATATGACATATTCTAAGCCTTTACCCAGATAGCAAGCTTACGTTGCCCCGATGTTGGGCCACCGTTGTAAGTTACGTTGGTCCAATGTCGGAAAATGATATTGGGCCAATGTAATTTTGCTCATCGGCGCAACGTTGGACCGACATGTTGGCGCAACGTTGGCCCAATGTCATAGAACGATAATTCTGACGTTGGTCCAACGTTGGGCCACTGTTGTCAGTTATGTTGGCCCAATGTCGGAAAATTTATATTGGGCCAATGTAATTTTGCTCATCGGCGCAACGTTGCACCGACATGTTGGCGCTACGTTGGCCCAATGTCATACAATGATAATTCTGATGTTGGCCCAATGTAGGCCCAACGTATTTGTGCTCCTACATGTAGGCGCTACGTTGGCTCAATGTCAAACAATGATAATTCTTATGTTTGCCCAATGTTGGCCCAATGTTGGCCCAACATATTTGTGCACAAGGATATTTGGAAATCTATGGAATTCAATGGAAATCTAAGAAATTCCAGGAAGATACAATGAAAACTGAAATAATGATAACATCACAATTTATCATAGATCAAATCTATATTTTAAAAATTAAAAAAAAATAGTTTCTTTTACAATGTGTTTTGAAACAAATATTACATATACACTTATAGATGTACAATGTAAGCACATTTTTTCAAAGTATTCTCACTGATTGACATTTCTTTGTAATAAAACAAACTATTTCTTTTTTTAAAATATGGCATTTGACTTAATGACATTGGGAGAGGTCATTGAAACCTCAACGGGGTATACAGTTACAATGAACTTCCAGTTGTCCATGTACATTTACATTTACTAGAGTGACAAACACATGTATTAAGTACAAAATATCCACTACACAACTATATTAATAAAAAGATCCAATAAATCAACACATACTATTTTCCCCGAACATGCCAAAGATCCTAATTAAGTTAGATCCGAAATTTCTCAAGTGTTTGCTTGAATCACTTCCTCACTGATATCCCATGAAATTCACAATAATAAATAAATAAAAGATGGCGTTATGTTAGAGGGTAGCCAAATGACTGGTCATGTCACGAACGGATTCACTTTAAGTACAAAGGCTCAGAAAGTTCAATGTTCATTGTTGATCATTCCCATAGACACTTCAAACTTTTCTGGCACAATTTCTGAAACAAAAGATGACCATTAGGATGTATTATCATCGATATTTTTCGCATATATAAACAAAAATATATGACAAATAATAAAGCAAGGCTCTACAAGACTGTAGACAATTGCATATTTCAACCTGACAGTTCAGTATAGTGTAGAAATGTAATTTCAATTCATGTGATTTTATTGCTCTAATCAGAAAATTTAAGAAATCTTACCTTTGTGTTAATTTTCATACTGCTTTTGTCCTTCTTGTGAGCATTCAGATTCCTGAAAATAATGCATGTATAATTGTGCATCATAGAATATGATAGCTATTTTTAATAATTAATGCTTAAATATTTATGTAAAATAATTATGCATAGCTGTGCAATTTATAGCATGTTTAGATTACCTGTCAGAATCCATTGTAACTGTTATGTATTTTTAGGATAAGGAATATAAACCTCTTGTTTACTTGGTATATAGTAGATGCAATATCTTTATAGTTTTATGCTAAAAGATACAAGTTGATAAAAACAATGTTAGGTTATTTGTGTTAAATGAAAATTTGAGCTGGTTCTCACCATTTTTACAAGCTGACTATTCGCCGGCGCAGTGGGAATCGTCTCGGGCACAGTCCACTGCATGCAACTATTAAATAATCAAAATAAGTGCTGAAAATGATCTTGCACATGCATTTAAAAATAAATATACTTTATTACATTGTACAACAAACTCTGTAAATGTTGAAGAGAGGAACACTAAAATTTGATCCCAAACGAGGAAACTCGGGTTGAAATCCATCTTTAAGAAAGATGTATAGAAGTGTAAAATTATTATAACAAAATTAAAATAGCGCTTGCTCAAACGATTTTACTGCCAAGCATTTTATGTGTAGTGTCCTGACTAAGGAAGTATTCAAGGACACATGTTATACTATAAAAAATATTTTGTACATTGTACCTACCGCAGTACCGAGTCGTAAAATGTCTTCATCTTCTGTCAAAACAGAAATTCGATCCAAAGCTAGTCATGATTCTCCTTTTCGCGACACTCTTTTCCGAACGTTCCTTCTGTACAATATCAACATGGCTGCGTTGAACACCCAAAAAATTTAAATTTCGGCGCGGTATGTTGTTTAAATTAATTGCTCATCGAACCCGACTTCGATCCCGATGTAATTGTACTATTAGTCGATAGTTTTAGAGAAAAATCTAAGTTATTTTCCATAGTTTTGAAAATCTACGTAAGGATTAAATAATTAAAAATGAATAAATAAACAAATAAATAAAAATTAAAATAAATAAATAATTTTTTTAACGTTTCAACATATAAGTTGGTTCAACAATGTCGGGCCAACATTGCAAAGATGGCCATACTTCAACATTAAAAATAACAATGTTCAGGCACGTAGCAACAGGGGGCAGGGGGCCTGATCCAACGCCCACCCCCAACTTTTTCCTCAACATTACCTTTACTACAGAAAATGTCCATTGCAAGGATGCCCCCCGCCCCACTTTTTACCACAGTATAGTGATATCAAGAAAAAACAGCAAAAAATTGGAAGTGAAAGAAAGTTGGCCTTGAAAAAAGTTGGCCACTACCCCCCCCCACCCTTTTGCTTGTCAACTTTTTCAGGTAAGTAAAAAAAAAATTTGTGGTTGCCCCCCCCCCCCCCCTTTTAAAAACGATGCTACGTGCCTGTTGTTGGCCCGAGGTTGGAACAATGTTAGTGCACCAACTGTAGTAATGACAATGTCGGACCGATGTTGGTACAATGCCAATGCACCAACTGTTGTAATTACAATGTCGGACCGATGTTGGTACGATGTCAATACACCGACTGTTGTAATGACAATGTCGGACCGATGTTGGCCCAATATCGTTCTGCCAACCGCGATATGTAGCCGATCTACCAACCATATGCCAACATCGGCCCAACGTCAGCTTGCTATCTGGGTAGACTTACGACGAATATTGGTAATTGGCAAATATAAATAATGAATTAGAAGCCACAAGTAACTTCTCTATCTAATAAATAAAAAAGGAACAATTAATCAAAGTATTTTGATGAGAACATACATTTTTTTTATTTTGAGCAATAATTTTCAAAAGCAATACGTTTGATTAATGTAATAAAAAAATAAAAAAATAATTTTAATATTTTTTCTCAAAACAAAACCGTGTTGGATATTAAAGTTTGATTACAATACCTGTACTTTGAATACAGCCATATATGTGATTACATTTTGTAGAAGAAGTGCATTTCAGTGTTCATCTTTCCCCGTATGTTGGTGAAGGACAAGGTTGGGAACAATTATTTCCGAAAAACCCAGGAGAACATTCTAAAAATCTATATTAAAGTTATCTTTATTTCTATGCATTATTTCTGAATAAATATCTGAATGAATTAAAGAGAACAAATACTTTATCTTCATGCCAAAAAGAATTTTTACAAAGAAGAAAGGTAAATGATCACATAAATTTATTTTAAAACCTTATTGATTACAAATAGCTTTTTCAAGTTAAGTATAACCTTTAAAGAGATCCCCGTCTGCATGAAAGTTTGTACAGCACGATCCATCTTCTTTACGCCTACTAATATTAACATATTAATGTATGATAGGACGTAATATTAATAATCATTTTTTTTAAAAAAGGAATGCTAATATCTTACCCGTAAGAGCAACTTTTGACAGCAATTATCTTCATAAAGAGAGAAATAATGTAGCACAAAAACGTCAAAAAGATGACAACCTTGATTGGCATGGTCAAGATCAGTATATATTAAAGAAACCTTCAATTCATAAGGTAAAAATAAATAAATACATGGCATAACAGTCTGATACTCTCTGTGACAACTGTTGATAATTTCATAACAATCATTTTATGATTTCCTGTATATGAAAAGCCTAAAGTGATGAGAACATGTGTTTTACTATGTTTTACGTCCTGTTATTTTCATTTAAAAAGAGAAGGATAATCATAACTACGCTTTTTTCAGTTTTTTGAACAAACATATTGACATTTGACTTTCTCTTAACTTAGAAATGGAGGAAATGTTATGAAAAAAAGAAGACTGAATTTTAAATCCCTGTCATTAAGTGTCCCATCAAAATCATTCAAAGGTTATTCAGTTTCTGAAATGCCGCTGCAGTTTTAGCCAGTGAAGGGTTTCAGTAAATTGCATAGTATTTGATACATATTGAAATTGCAAAACTTTCTTTATAAAAGATTAAAAAAAATTAATATCGTTTAAAAAATATTCCAAACTAATTGTAACGGAAATCGTTAAAGATGTTCCCAAAACGCCCCCCCCCCGCCCAATATCCTTTTGATGCCTTATTCCATGTAAGCTTTATTAGATAGGACAAAGAACTTTATTCGGTAATAACCAATATTTGCCCCCCAAATCAAACTTTGATAGAGATATATTTAATTAAGTTCTTAAACAGGGGAGTTTATGCTGACTTCAAAGCACTGAATATTTTCATAAGTAATGACGCCATATGTACGTAATGACGTCACAAACATGACGTAAATTTCAGTTTTTCATGAATTTTACAGAAAAATGTACATATTTCGTCGATATTTTGAGTAAAAGTCACCGAGCGCATGTGTGTTCAGGATCAATATTTTGATATAATGTGTAGAATGATAATATCAATGAAATATGTCAATATTGTTCCTGAACAAACCTGCGCTCTATAAATTTTAAAGCTAAAGTTGTTGAAATTTTGTCCATTTTGTCCTCTTTCTGAAAAAAGATATAAAATTGGACTAGTTTGTGACGTAATAAAAACAAAAATTGTGAATACACTGCTTTGACACTATAATATTTTCTGTTAATTTATATTTCTCATACAATTTATTGAATTCAGCACATTTCAGGAAGTTTTCAAATTTTGACTTTTGTGGGGGCAAATATATGTAATATACCGCATATAGTTCTTTTCTGCATTTTAGACTTTAACAACTTTTTGCTAAAGTATACAACGTATATTCACAATTTTGGCATTACATGCCTATACAGGTGAATGCATGTGCATGTGTACGCTATTGATACAACTTTATTTTCTCTCAAGAAGGATATGGAGATAACGAACAGTATTCAATCTCAAAGTCCATAAAACAATACAAAATAAGAGCAGAGCAAACACGGACCCCCCAAAACATCAGAGGTGGGATCAGGTGCCATGGAGGAGTGATGCTCACCCCTGCCGACCGGTCACACCCGCCGTGTGCTCCTTGTCATGATCAGGATATAACGGAAAAAACCCGTCGTCAATTCAGTGTGTAAATAATGGACTAACCATTGGTATGAAAAACGTCAGTCAGCATTTGACTCAATGATAAATTGTATCTGCTGACAAGGTCATTGTATCGACCATAGAACATACGAAATGATGACTTTAAACGAGACTGCTGATATTAAAATATTCCGAATAAATCAAGTATTTTTTGTCATTTAAGCACTGCACGCGAGCGCACGTGCATGCATATGCGTAATGATCATATCATTTTGTCAACACTATTAATCTATTTTAATGTACTAAATATGAAAGTATTTAATGAAAATACCGAGCTAATTAAACTTTACCCCCGCCTCCCATATGATTATAATGGTGAAGTCCATGCATGTTTTGCTATGGGATACTCGAAATAAGTATCAGAACAAAAGGTAAAATAGGAAATGAACACTGGATCGGATTCATGTCAGAAAGAACTTGTGAATCTGTGAAAGTATTATTAAATTTATTAAGAAGTATAGAAGGAGTTGCAGATAAGAGATGGGTACCCTTCAATATTAAAGAAGGAATGGCAGTATTTGTGTTTTGCTATGGGAGACCTAAAATATGTATCGGATCAAAAAGTAAATAAACAGGTGCACAATGGCACTATTAAACAAAGATTCTGTGAAAGTCTCTTAAATTTCTTTACAGGTATAAGAGGAGTTGCGGATAAGATATGGGTACACAAGATATATATTAAGCGTTAAATATGCTCTGGACTATATTTTTGATTCAAATAGCTAGATTTTGAGACATTAACTTTTCATTTAAGATATTTTTTAAACATCACTGCACATTTTTCAACTAAGAGCACTCTACGGGTGAGGTACGGGAGAAAAAATATACTATGGACAAAGACCTTAAATAACTACATGTATATTTTTCTAACCTGACTTTTGCTTGATAATTGGATCAAGGTTTTTGAAACATTCTACCTATGTTTATACTCAATGGGTAAAGTTTAAGCCCTGTAAGGCCAAAGCAAGAGATGCAATACCCCGAACAAGTTTTTCAATTGCAAAGTAACTTTCTGCACTGTAAAAAATAAGTGTTTTATAAATAAACACCATATTGCAACAGATAATAAACACTTCAACACATTTAGAATTTAAACATCTCAAGAAGTGTTTAAGAAATAAACACGTTAGAATGTTTAAATTCTAAACACATGAGGTTTAATATTCAACACTTCAAAAACACAAAATGTTTAAAGATTAAACACTGAATAAACACTTAGAGTTTACTACATAAACACCGTGAGTGTTTAAAATTTAAACATTTCATGTTTAATAAATAAACGTCTTCAACATAAACACTTAAACACTTAAACATGTTTATTCGATGCAACAGATAATAATCACTTAAACATGTTTAAAGGTCAATTTTTAAACACTTCAACGTGTTTATTTTACAAAATAAATAAATACTTAAACGTGTTTATAAGTTTTCGACATTTTTATTTGAAACAAATATAAATCAGTACAAAACACACTGTGGTTGATAATGAATATGTTGTACATTAAGCTTTTTTAAATTAATAATTGATTTAATGTTGATTGAGGGTTCAAACTTTATAAACAACTGAAACATTAAATAATACAGTTACCAACACACGGATACATTATTCAATTTTAGTGGAAAAAATAGAATTCTCAAAATAAACTAGCATGAACATGTAAACCCTGCATCTTTAAACTAAACTCCAATAAACTGGTGCCGGGAGGGGTGGGGGTCTTTGAAATATGAAAAAAAATATATTATCGCTTAATAAAATGAAATGTTTTTCATCAGTAATATT